AAAAACGTAAAATATTTGAGTAGCCCAAGACACAGCCAAAGATTGCAGCGCCACAGCACTGGCAAAAATTTAAATTTGCCGACTGGAATTCTTTCGGATGATTGACTTTCGGATAATCGACGCTCTACTTTAATTGTAACGTTCCTACTCTTAATCATTGCATTGCATTCACTGCTTCTACGTATCAACAGAATTGTTATTCGTCATGTGTATTATTGTAGATTGTATTGTACTTTATCATTGCGCTGTCTGTTTATATTTATCGCTTTATGTCCTACTGTTTTATTCTTTCATTTTGTGTTAATTTTTATATCTTCTGTAATTACATGTTATTGCATCTGTATTTGTAACCTGGTAGTGCTTATGCGTAGCCAGGCTGCACATTGTGTTAATAAATAATAATAAAAGTCAGTGGAATCACGCTCGACATTTCAAACACCATTGTCAAACATCTAGGCTTACAGGAAAGCGGCGCTAAACGCCCGACGTACACGTTTTCGCGTTTAAAACTTCGGCCTCAACCTCGCCAATAAACTTCAAATTTGTTTCTTTTAAACGAATTTTCCTAATGAAAAACTTCGTCCCAAAATTCAAATTCATCTCCGATTGACCGAGAAGATAAAGTAGTCGGCTTGTAGCTCTGGGACTCGTGTTCCAATCCGTGTCAATGCAGAAGTTTCAAGCATACATCGGATCCGTCCTTTCCCACCGGCCACTTCACCTGCAAATGGTGACAAATGGTGACGGGTACAAAAATGGTTCCTGCAATGCTAAATTTTTTTTCCACAAATATTCATTTTTCTGATGTGTTACAAAAGTATAGATACACTTTCTAAAATTACATAAAAATAATTTTTAAATATGTTTTAAACACTTTCAATATTTGGTTTCACCCCCTTTGGCTACAATTATTTGAAAAATTCTGTTAGGCATGGAGTTTATTAATTTTGATTAATTGTTTATCCTTAATTTCATCCTCCGCATCCGTTATTGAAATTTTCAATTGATTTAGATTCGTATTGTTTCCTATTTTGATAAACAATGGCTGCTAAAATCCTCTAAATTTTCAATGGGATTTAAATCTGGACTATGCGAAGGTCAGTCAATTACATCAATATACAAATTTTTAGTTGACATTGAGGCATGAATGGAAGCTGCCGCTTCAGGCCCATCCTGGCCTCGTGTAATGATTAATTAATTTTCGTAACCCTTACCTGACCCGTCTTGTTCGTCCCTATCGTATCTCCAACCAAGGAAAGTCCACAAAATCTATCTTTAGAGTTTATTCACACAAAACAAAAATAAACTATTTACACTAATTCGGTTAGAATTACATTCCGCTATATTCCCGCGCTTTTGGGACTTAACAAACTCCTTTTCTAGTGTTGCCAACTCTACAATAATCATAAAAAAACAGAAAAAAAACGTCCGCCATCTAGCGGTATGAACGGATCGGGAGCATTATCTTGTTGAAACTTCCATTTATGAGCTCCAATTAATGCACCAAATATAATGATATTATTATATAATAATTCTTGATACTTTTCTGAGTTGATATTTTTTTCAGCAAATACTAAATCAGTTTTACCTCCCCATCAAAAACCACTCCAAATCATTACAGAGACCCACCCCATTGTTGCCCGCTTATTTTAACTCTGCTTTTCTTCTTAAATCATGCCAATAATATGAAAACCCATCAGAGCCATCTAAATTAAACTTCTTCTCATCATCCAATTGTGGAAAGAGTCTACTTTATTAATCGTAAATACTTAATTGCGTATTCCAATTTCATTGTTACAGCATTACACCGCAACTAAACAGTAAAAAATTATTTAAACTACATAAATTAAGCTTTCACGATATGAAAAAGAATTTCTATTTATTTCCAAATATTAAATTAAATTAAAAAAAAAAACTTTCTGCGACGGCCGGGAATCGAACCCGGGTCAACTGCTTGGAAGGCAGCTATGCTAACCACTATACCACCGTCGCACGCTTTAATTCATCTCTTCCACACTCTTAAGAGCATTCACCTTTCTATTCTCCATTTCTTATCTTCGTTTTGTCTTATCTTCAATTGATAAGTTATTTTTTATTTATTTCGCAAGGTGTCGTCACCGTCGTCGCTCTATCGTTCTCGTGCCGTCAAGATGGCCACCTCCGATGTCTACGTCTCTTCGGACGACGACGACAAAAACATTCTGAAAAGCAGAACGGGAAGTTACTTCGATGAGGAATTCATTCTATGGAAAGACAATCAGGCGAGTGGAGTTTCTATTTCCACCCTTATATCATTACTAAGTACCTATTAAGTGTTATAAAGTGTACTTGAATTGTCTACAGATAACAATATACAATCGACCGACCCCCTATAACACTTGATCATTTCGTTTTATATGAATTCCATGTTGTACGAGTCACTTAGATTTTACAAATACGTGTGCCGGGCTGTGAATGACTCACGTATTTGTAAAATCTAAGTGACTCGTACAACATGGAATTCATATAAAACGAAATAATCAACAGTGTTATAGGGGGTCGATTGTGTACCTGTATACATCATGTCTTATATCTTTTTTGTTATTTTTTTGATACCTGCACGGTCACAAGCTTGATATTAGGGAATAGTATGTGGCTCTTTTGAGTTTTTTTCAAACAAATGACAAATACTTAGAAAGAAGTTTTAAACATTTTGTTTCTTAGTAAAAATAACATTCATTTTTAGGTATAGGAAACATTACAGTCTCCTAAGTTTTCTTTATCCCTGCTTGGTACAGAGATAAAGTACAAGTCAGGATAGTAGTTGATACAGATTACTTATCATTTATTATAACAAGGGTCAATGTTGAAAATATATTCCTAGGATGATATTATTATGTTCAAAAATTTTTTTCAATTATTTTGCCTGTTATAATTTTGTGTTAGGATGAAATTGCAATTCTCATTAGTATAAACACGGATGATGAAAAAGATAACTTTGCCATTTGGTGTTTTTTTATTTTGCATGGATATGGTCGAAAGAAATGAAAATTTATTTACGGTCGAGTGTTTCTTCCTTAAATTTAAAGAAACTTAGCTTTAAATAAATAAATTTCTAGCGTGTAAAATATTTGTCAAAATTATATCACCTGTCACAAGTTTTACCAAAATTAATAAAATTTAACATGGTTTAATTAAGATTATGTTGATTTCTATCCAAAATGGACCAATCATTTTCAAATTATTATAAGTTTTCTGTCACAAAGTTACAATTCAAATTCTTTAAAAAAACTGTATAAGGTTGCAAACTGTACAAGGTGGTTGTTGTTGGGCCACAGCTATCTCTTCTATAGTTACTTCCTGTGCTAGTGCTTGTGGAGTGGAAGAATGCGTGAACGCTCTCCTAACCAAGGCCCTGAATGCTACTATTTTGTATGGAAAAGGATCACACGACCCAACTGGAATATAAGTGGAGATAGCACTTGATTTACGATAAACAGACATGTGTATGTCCGACCCTTCAATTGTGATATCTATGTCCAAGAAGTAGACCCTGGTGGGGCTGTGTTGTTCCACCTCAATGACCAGCCCGTATGGATTGTCGTTCATTGTGTCGACAAACTGTGTTAGATTTGGAGCTGTCCTCCAGAAAATAATTATGTCATCTATGTATCTTTTGTACAGGAGTATATTGTGGAGAAAGTGTGGTAGGATCCTGTTTTCCAATTGTCTGACCACCATTTCACAGAGGTCTCTGGAAACTGGACTGCCCATGTGAACACCTCTACTCTATGTGTATATAATCCCATTAAATGAAATACAGAACTATAACGCATCAAGTGGGCCAATTCGAGTATGTGTTTGTGCATTGCTCGATCATCCACTCTAGTAAACAGGAAGTCCATGAGAGCACAAAAAATTGGTTATTGTGAGTCACTCCCTTTTTATATATTCATCCCGGTGTGGTGCAGTTAAGTACATAAAAGTATTTTATGCCTTTAACAGAATCCTGTTCTCTTTTAAAATGATGAGAAAAGCTAAAGAAATAAAGCAGATTTAATAAAAAGTTTTATCTCATTCCAGCTCTGGTATGTACAGTACCTAACTATAAAATTCAAAATTATAACAGCTGAATAATTTAAGATGCAGAAAATATCGATATATGCAATGATTGATGATGATGAATAATGAATGATGGATGTGTGTTATAAGTGGCAATCCAAATCAAAATTTTCAGAATAAAAATTCATAAAAACATCAACAAGAATTAAAGTAATACCACTTGCTTCTTACTTTTTCACATAGTTTCTATTCAATGTACCAGAAAGTAGTATGTGCTGGACAGAAGTAAGAAGCAAGAGTTATTACTTTAGTGAAAATTGATCTTGTTACATTCTACACATTAAATATGTAATTTCACTTTTGTGTTGTGTAAGTACTTTGTATATGTTACAGTCAAAACCCGTTTTTAGTTAGAACGCGTTTTAACTAGTTGAAACTAGTTT